ACGACTCACCCGTATGAACGACTCACCCGTGGAGTACGTTAATACAATTGTTATAACTTACTCTATCACCAAGCCAGTCATATCACCAAACTAGTCAAAATCTGCCAAGACTAACACAACTCCGCACTTCACAGTATGTCTTAACAACATTATAACTTATTGCTTCATTACAAAGGGAGACTGCAGCTTGCTCTCTAGGCCTATAATACTAGACAGTTTCAGAGCCATCAGGCTGCTGCTGCTGCGTTTAACGTTAAGCAGCGCAGGCTCTATAAACACGCCGACAATACTCTATTTTAACTCAATATACGCGCAAACTGCTAGGAGCTTACTACAACTAAAGATTAGACAATTGTCTAATATAACGTGGTTCACAAGCGAGTCGCCCACCCAAGTGAGTCGTCCACCAAACACCCGCGCCGCGCCTACGCAGCAGTGCAGCGCAGCACTACAATAAATTACAATACTACACATAACATTATAATATTATTTAGAAGCGTTGCTATTATCTATGTCCTTAATTTCTACTTTACAGGTGTAGGAGTTGTGCCTAATTTCGCTGTAATGGCCGCAGCGCCTCTCTGCGCGCACCCTCTTCGCAGGCGTCTTGCCCTCCTTACAACTACCACCCTCCTTTTTAGTAACTAGGTTAGATACCTTACTAACTATTAGAGTCTCCTCTACGCGTATATACCACCTTTTATAGGTCTTGCGCTTTGTAAGCATAGTAACAGCGTCTTATAGGTAGCCTATTTCCTCCTGCACTAACACTATATTATAAGCTATCTATTAAGCGCCTTTACTTAACTGCTTAACCTGCTCATCTAATAAACTTGCTAGTGACCTATAATAATTTTGCATGCGATTTCAGATTAGCGTTAACTGCGCCTCTATCTCGCAGGTGTTGCGTGGTGTTTGCGCCTCCCAGGCGACAGTGCCTGGTGCAGGTGGCGTTAGCGTACGTAGCTGTACATCAAGCTTTAATAACACAACCTTAGGGTCATGTAGGGCTAGCCTAGCGCCTTAAAACCCTGCGCAAACATTCTCTAGTGTAAACATCCTCTTAAAAGCTACTTTAAAGGCTAGTAGGAAGGTTTCTTTGTTAATATAGTAGATGCAGCTGGGTGCTAAGAGCGAGATCCTGTCGCCATAGTGGCGCTTCAACAGCGAGTATGGGACAATGTCAAGAGGCTGCAGGAGGTGCGATGAGTGTGGTGGCATGCAGAGAGTGATAATCTTGTTCTCCTTGCAGTAGTCCTGGAATTCTATGAAGCAGTGGCTCTTATAGCCGTTAATAATAAGCAGCCTATATGCCCTAGCAGAGGTCACCTTTGTATGGGCGTTAAAGTGCTTAAGCTATGCTATTACAACGTTATTATTAGTCTAGCTAGTAGGAGAGACTGTGATAACCTAGTTGCAAGGTAGACTAGTAAACTAGGAGGAGATTAGGACCTTGCCTGTAAAGATAAGGAAGGGTAGGATAATACACCCTATTGCAGTAACACCTTATACTAGGGTAACCTACTTATAATTACTAGGCTGTAGTTTCTTCTATTTCCTAGGTTTCTCTAAGCCTGTAATAATAAGCTAAGAGGATATCTTGCCTATTATAAAGCTAGACTTATTAAAGTTCTAGGTGTCCTTATCTGTAATACTATACTTTGTCTTTATTAATTAAACTAGGCTAAACTAGGGCTAGATAAGCGCTAGGTCTTCGTAGGCAGCTTGCTGGCAATTGTACAGATGGCTCTATCGCGTGCGCAGCTCTAGTGTACGCTTAATGAAGTTATCAACCTAGTTCTTGCCTGTAGGCTTCCCACTACGCTCCCTTAGCAGTCTATCAGCCATATCTTGTACATGCGCCTTTGAGGGCGGTATTCTATATAGACTCTCTTCAAGTATATGCTGTATAATCGCCTCCTCTTCTAGCTTTGTAAGGCGCTTTAATTTTAGCTCACAGTTGCGTTAAGGGTGTTGTCTAGCGCGTTAGTCTTAGATTGTTGTTCGTGGGATATTATAGACTGCTGCAGCGCGTCTTTCGCTCTATATCTGCTTAGACTTAATATCAGAGATAGCAATAAATATATCTCCTTCAGTATAGGTCTTTCGCATGTTGCGTTGTTGTGGCATTACGCGTTGTTGCTGCGCAGGCGGGGCGCGGGTGTTTAGTGGGCGACTCACTTGGGTGGGCGACTCGCTTGTGAACCACGTTATCCTTAACCTTAATTTGTGAGGGTTTGCACCTTAGCTGTGTGAGGTAGTAGATATAGCTCATAAACTGTTAGGTGTGCGTAGTACATCGGGAAAAGTTTTTCTGTTGTCGAAATTAGGAAATCATGGCATTGTACTGTAGGCAACAGTAGGACTTGTAGGCCTATAATAGTTATTCAATGTGCATTCAATGTCTAGCTAATTTTAAGCTAACAGCTCTAACAGTCCTAACAGCTACAATAGCCACAACAACTCCTAATCCTACTACAATAGTAGCTCTACTTAATAAACTATACTTTTATTATATTAATATACTACTAAGTCTCCTCTTTAAAATAAGCTATTAAATAATATTATAGGCCTATTAATAGAATAGTTATTAAACATAGAAGGTTTTAAGCTTAATATTCCTTACTAAGACACTAAGTTAAGATTCTTTGCTAGGGCTCTAGCAGCCTAAATATTAGAAAATATAAGAATATTATTCAAGAATAGTAGGTAAACTAAGAATTCTACACCTAGGTCTGCCTGTTCTGCAGTGTGTGCTTGTTAGCAGGTGCTTTGTTGTGTGCTGTTGCAGCTGCCACGTCGTGTGCTATTGCAGCTGCAGCTGATACATTGTGTGCTGGCGCAGCTGCAGCTGCCATGTTGTGCTGTAACACAAACCTTCAACAAACAAACCTTTAACGCTCTATAACTCGCGTTGTAATAGGCCTACAACAATAATTTTTTGCTTATTTTAAAGCTACAATTTCGCTCTATCTGTACATGAAATTTTGTAATTTTTAAATATTTAATACTAGTGCTAGCAGAACTAAGGGTAGCTATGCAACAATATTGTAACATTATTTTAAGTTTATTAAATATAGGCACTTAGTGTTTTAGCTGTTAGCAACGTTGGCGTGAAATTAGGGCTATTAGGCGCAAATTGGGGCTGTTAGGGCTGTTAAACAGCTGTTGCACAACTATGCCACAACTGTCAGCAACAGCCAGTCTGGGCCGGATTTCGAAAAACTTTTCCCGATGTAGGGAGCCTGTTACTAAACTCTAGGCTACAAGATTTGTAACATGTTTAGATTAGCTTAAGATAGTGTTTAACTAAGGAAAGGATAGACAAAGGATACTATAGGAAAATCCTAAGGTAATTAACACGTAGTTTATGCTAGTAGAGGGTACTAAGGCTAAGTATAGCATCTACAATAACAACGTGCACAACTTTAATAAGACTAGGTTCTAGATAGGTGTGATAGGGTAAATAAAGGTTGTCACAGGCGCTAAGAGACGCGCTCAACCTGAGCTTGTTCAGCCAGGCAATTAGGAGTAGGTTATAGTTATACAGAGCATCTGTGCTGCTAGATATGCAACCCTGCCTTTCATTATCTACAAAGGACGCGTCCACATCTCTGCCTAGTACAAGGAGATAGATATCCTGCATAATTAGAAGCTCTCTGTCTCTAAGAATAGCTAGACAAATAACAGGCTTAGCCTTAAGTAGTTAAAGCATTTTAACGTGCATACAAGAGCGTGTTAGGTAGGTAGCTACAGCCTACTTATCTTAGACAGCTATAAGAGCCACCTTAACTAGAATTTTAAGGACTACTGCCTAGAGAATAAAATCCTTACTCTTTGTATGCTAGCTTACTTATCACACATCCTCTAGATACTTGATGTGGTCTGTTTCTTGCTGTTAAAGCCTAAGTACTCCTATTGCGTCTAGGACTTAGCACGCTAACGCGTCTTCTACATTAACAAGGAAGGCTTCCTTCTAGCCTTTAGAGATGCGTTTCTTAATATATTTACAAAGGCTAACTATTAGAAGGCCTTTAAGGCATTAGGGCTAGTCCCTGCTAACGCGCAGGTAGTGTTAGATCGCCTTAAGGTGCGGCACTGTACCCTACTAGCACCCCCTCTACTAGAGACACTGTGGCAGTTAAGGAATCTAAGCAATACACACAAGTTTAGATCTTAGTTAAAGCTTATACATAACTCCTTTACCTAGTTACTAGTCACAGCTTAGGCTAGCTTCTCTTAGCTTATTAAAGGTAGTGAATTAATGCTGTACTAAAACGCGCTTTAAGCTGCTTGCATTACTAAGCTTAAAGAGTAATTAGTAGTTATAAGTAGGAAGAAGTTGCGCAAGCAAAAGCAGATTTAGCATAGCAGCACACTTGAGTACAGCCTAGCAGCATTACAGGTAGCTGCTAAGGTGTCTGTAGCAGCTTAGCTATTAAAGAGGACTTGTGGTGTAGATACTTAAGAAAGGACCTATTTAGCCTAATAGCGCTGTAGAAACTGTAGAGGCACTAGGCACAACGCTTAAACGTGTAAGAAAGATATAGGAGAAGATTCTAAATCTAATACAAGTACACAGTACACTTAATTACTGTTTAATAGTAAGTAATTTAAATTACTGCAATATAAGTTGGGCGCGCTATGAGTTTTTGACAAGTTTGGTGATATGACTAGCTCGGTGATAGAGTACGTTAGTTATACATTTGCCCTTAATACCGCAACACAATATCCTATCGTAGCAGGCATCTTATCTGAGATCTGAGAGCTTTTGTAGCACAACATCACACAACACGACAACAGTAGCAATGCAATCGTTGATCACAGTCTCCGACTGACACTGCTCACGAAGTTACATATGATATAAACGAGCCGGCTAGTTGCTTTGAAGCAGTTTCTGATAGCCCATTAGTCAGCTACTGGTATGCCCCTATCCGCCATCTGCACTTTAACTTCCTTCTGTCCTTCCTTGATCTTTTTCGCTCGGTTGCCCCTTTCAGTCAACAGCCATGCACTGGTCCTGAGCGTCGTTTGTGCTGCTATAGCAAATCCAGCAGCAGCAGTAGCTCCTGCGTCCGCCACAAATGTTGCTATACCGGCAGCTATGAGCGTTGCTCCAGCAGCAAATGCGAAGCTGCCCCCGTCTCGAGTGTTTTGGGCGCCCTTGACCCATTTGTCGAGGAAGGCTGGGAAATTGGCTCGGGCATTGTAGTCGCCGATGATCTCAACAAGCAGACGTATGAACACCTGACAGTTGTATTCGTCGTACACGTATTTCTTCCGCAATGAGAGCTCCCATACTAGCTTGGCTAATAGGCAAAATATGTCAGCCTCTTCTCAGGTCATCTGTCGCGCTACAAGGCTAACCTACCAATTTCATCAATCTGCCCGGGAGAGTATGGCAGCACCAGATCGCCTATGTAGCCATACATGATATCTTTACCCTGATCTTTCCTTTTCCGTACGAACGCGAGCTCTTGAATAGGTCTGTATCCATACTGGTCCTTCTTCTTTTTCTGTGTTATGTCTCGTCCCAACTCAAAGACCCACCCATTGACACATATAGCCCAGTGGCCAACGATGTCGATAGGCTTCTTGATTCCCATGTTCTTCATAGCTGTTGTTGACATCGTGAAAAGATGAATTTTCCTTGAGTAGGGGTCGTTGTACGTCAATCCAACATTGTTGGACAGATGCCAGTCAGTCTGGTAGAGCTGCGGGTCTGGAACCATCGTGGAGGCTAGTATTAGAACTAAGATATTTCTTTCTCTTGATGAGCAGGCAGTGTCTGAACACTTCTTGGCGTCTCTCTCGTAGGCAATCTGGTCGCATTTATGTTCAATGAGTTCGCGTAGCGCCTCATCAGTATCGCCTTACCCTGCCGTACGCATTGTTGCTGCAACAGCTAGTTGCGCATCGCACGACCGCCTCATAAGCTAAACTTAGTGCTGACATGCATATGCTGACCACCCTTTCTGTGATTAACACGTTTCTTCTACAGATAAGGGCACATGTGATCGCCGTGGCACTGGCCAGACGTCTTAGTACACACATTTGTCGACCAGTATGCCAGAATCTAGAGCTACGCTCAAATGGTTATCTTCCCCAGATTGTGCCTTCTGACGGGCGTTGGCGGTCTCATGGTAGTTCCGGTCTGACAACCCAGGACTACTAGTCCCCACTTTTGTCTATCGAATTCGGAAAGCAAATGTCGATCGACTCTACTCCAGGATTGTAGGACCCCTTTGTAAGATATGTGGCTGATTTGGAGTTTCAGCCTTGCGTAGAAGCCTGGTCGTTTGGCGCGTTTCTAGGATCGTTCGGAAGGTCGTTTAGAGGTTATTGATCGGACTAGACGCTACATGCCACAGCGCGATCTGAAGATCTGTGGTGTTGAGCAGTTACGAGGCGCAAATCGTTGCATTGGGAGAAGAACTATGCGTTCTCGCTACAGCCCCCAACTTGCCGTCCATGGGGCGCACACTAGTAATACACTAGCGTGTTGATGGCGGTTCCTCAGCAAATCAGGGCACACGCACTGCGGTCTCCTAAGCTGGGCCGTCTCAGCCTTGTCAGCCTGTCCTTAAAGTCCATGGAACAGTCACGCACTTGTCATTTGTAGCCTTCCAACATGCCCCAAGACCCGGTAAGCGAGCTTCTGAACAACGGTTTAATCAGTCTTCGAGCTAACGTGAGACATCTACAGTCGACTAAGTCACACGAAGATCAGATTCTTCCTTTCAAGATCAATCCAATAGGCATCGACGGTTCTAAGTCATCCCCACAGAACACTACGACTGCTGTACCGTCAGGCTCGACACTCTCCACACATGACCGTCGCACCGATCTGTACATACCTCTGCTTGCGGCGTCTTATCGGAACAGCGATGATGACCTGGACATTCCTTCTACTACGCCTGAGTATCTTGCCTTTGAGCTGAATGTGGATCGACTCAATGCGATCCACAAACGGCTTTGGGCTGTCGGCCGTCCAATGCCACCACGTGCATTGCATCATCAGAGAGTATTGGGCCGTGAGATCGTCTTGACGGAGCGAATGGACATGCATCTCGTATGGTCTGGATCTCGAATATTCCTCAAGCCAATACCGCGTTACCTGCTCGAGGCAAAGTTTTGGGCAGACCATTTGAGTTGCAAGGACAAGTGCTATGCATCACACTCGATGCAAAGGCAGATTGACGAACCCGGCTTCTGCGAGACGCAACGACTGCGAAGATGTGCGCTTGGGTTTCTGGTATCATATGCTGCACTAATCTCCTACGAGAGTGACTTTCATATTGCGCGCGAGAACAATCTACTACCCAAAGAGGTGGAATGGTTGTCCTGGAAGACCTTTGTAAAAGAGATCTTGCAAGTCAGACCAATCTACACACATGTCAATAAGCGATTCGTCTATGGAGAGCTTCGTCTCAATAGACTCAATACAATGTATCGACTTGGAAGAGGCCTGGTTCGCGGCTATCATTCGGGGTACAGTCAGTACGGCACTTTCTTTCAAGCCAACTTCACTTGGCTAGCCTCGTTGCTAGCATATGTTGTTATCATTCTGGCAGCAATGCAGGTCGGATTAGGTACCACAGTCTTACAGGAGAGCGAGGAATTTCAAACGGCCTCGTATGGTTTTACCATCTTCGCCATTGTGGGCCCTCTGGCGGCTGTAGCTCTTATATTCGGAGTTTTCCTGATAGCTTTTGTCGGCAACTGGGTTCACACATCAAACTACGAGAGAAAGAGGCTGAGTCTCATCAACAAGGTTGGAAAACCGGCTTAGGCAGTCCTTATTGTCCCCGGACCATTGAAGAGAGTGCTTCTTGACGGAGTAACGAACATATACCCGTGAAGTTATTTATTTGAACAAAGCTATAGCGATTCTGCGTGATACAAGGCCGATAGAGTAGCGCTGCTTTTCGATCCCACTGGGGGATTTTCTCTTGTGTAGTCTCCAGTTCCCATGACAAAGGTGCCCCTCTTGTCTGCCAAGATCAATTTAAATGTAAAGATTGTCAAGAATACTCGCCTACTATTAGCCGCCTTTGCTTACCGCTTGGATTTCCATAACCATACCCGACCCTCCTCAGAGCCTGTGCTGTCTTTGAGTACATGCTTTTCATGCGCTCTTATGGCTAGTCTCCCGGATTTGGAAATGTTTTTGTAGCAGAACAGCTGCAGCATAGGATCCTCTTTCGATTGACAGCGCGGGGGCAAGCAGAGCAGAGCACAGTACCTTGGTCTATTATACAGGTCTTAACAATACAATGCAGCTCTATGCCGTCAAATCGCCATACAATATAGCTAGTTGCAGTCGAAGACAACGTGCACGTATAGGTAGGGTATGCTTAGGTACCCTACCCTACCTGTACCTACAAATCATATAATTATACCCTACCCAATCCGACCTTACCTATCCGCCAGTCTAGGTTGGGGTTGGGTTGCATCACGTGGTACCTAACCCCAACCTAGCCTCAAAGTAGAGCAACCACTACCCAACCCCAACCCACCTTTGAGATTACTAAGCAGTTTAGGTTGAGGTTGTGTTGCCAATTAATAGGGTTGGGCTGGGTTTGGGTTAGGGTTACATATTTAGGAATATAAAAGACATAATTTCTTTAGACTATTTCATCAACGTACCTAACGAGTGAGTTGCCTACACGGGTGAGTTGCCCACTCTGCCGAGACCCCACCAAATCTTGACTCTATCTTGACCCACAACACCCTTTTATAGACCTGCAAATAGTTATTTTACCCGTGTTGCAGCCAAAATAGAGGCAAAATGTACATACATTAGCACCCCCGAATTGCCTGGTAAATATGCATGATATCTGCTGCGACAACATGTTACAGTATAGAAGAGCTACATATAACTTCTTTAAACACATATGCAAGTTATGTCTTATCTCTTAGCACTGTTTACAGTGTTGTGCAGTCTAGTAACCCTTATTAGTACGCACTGTCTTATTTTTATGTTTAATATCACTACGTGCAATAAATTCCTGTAGTGTAATTAGTTATACCCTGCCTTAAAATAATAGAGTCCCCTTCAGCTGTAAAAGCTTTCTTTAATAACGTAAATCACCATCAAGCCAGACACACCACCAAGCCAGACACTTTTTCTTGGCATTGTGAACACCATGTACAGGACAAGCAATTACTTACTTCTTGCTATAGAACCTGCGTATAACGCACTTGCATTAGATGCAGACTCTTCTTCTGTATCTTTCTGGCACGTACAAGCGTTGTGCCTAGTCTTCCTATAGTTACTACAGTGCTATTAACCTAGCTATGCTCTTTCTTAACTACTACTACTACGCGCTATCTTTAACACTATACAAGCTGTAGCTGCGCTTCTAGCTACTAATAATACTGCTTTACTATACTCTATTTTGCCCCTATGCTAGATCTATTTTCTTTTTTAAGTCTGGCACTTTATTATCTCTACTAGTTGCTCTTTAAGCTCCTATACACAAGCCTTAATAAGTATATTTTTATATAGTATCTCTTTAGCTCCTTTATAAGCTTTTAGAACCCCTCCTAAGTAGATATTAGTAATTATACAAAGTACTTACTTATAAGCTTTAATTATAACCTAAATTTATAGGTATTGCTTAGGGTTCTAGACTACTATAGTATTTCTAGTAGAGGTATTAGTAGAGGGGCATAAAATTATGGTTTAAGCTAATTAAGGACTATCTATATATTAATAGGGACTAGCCCTAATCTCTTAAAAGCCTTTTTATAGTTTGTAAAGTTATGGGACTTTGCTCTTATAATCTTTCTCCAGCGTATTTCTTTCTTAGGTATAGCACCATGCTTACCTAAGCATTGTTATTGTAATCTCCTAGATGAAAGGATTAGAATGGTGTGCTTACGAATCCTGTATCTCCTCTCGTTCTTAAGATATGCTGTTCTCTATTTATAGTAACTAGAAATGTTCTAGACCCTCTGCTTACAAATAGAGTAGCCTACTCTGTAAGATGCTAACGTATAAAATTACGCATGCACCTACGTAATCTTGCTTGCATATGCAGCAATACTAAGCATAGATTACAAAGTAGACCTAAATAGAGGAGTCTAGAACGTTCTGCTTAGAAATACAGAGAGGAGAGGAAGCATAAATACCTCTTGCTCTCCCCCCTCTGTTCGCCTTGTACCTAGCCTAGAAATCTTTACCTAGTATCTAATACAATAACTTGTCTATTATATTACTTAATCCTACGTTACCACTATTAGGCTATACGCTTCCTATTTGGAAAAAGCTAGTCTAGGTTTGTCTAGGTCCTTCTAGACTAGGAAGAAAGTAGTCTAGTCCTTCCCCTACTTTCTTTACATAGTTCTTATATATAAATATGTTAAAAAACACGTCTTTAAAGGCTAGAAGGAAGACTTCTTTATTAATACAGAAGATATGTCAGGATACTAAGGCTTGTATATGATAAGAGTCCTTAGCTTTAATAGCAAGAAATATACTATGTTAAGTAGCTAAAGTATATATAATAAGTAAGGAGGTACACAGAGGGTAACTATTCTATTCTCCTAGTAGTAGTCCTTAAATTTCTAGTTAAGGTAGCTTTTATAGCTATCTAAGATAAGCAGCCTATATAACCCCCTCTAACACGTTCTTATATATGTGTTAAAATACTCTCACTACTTAAGACTAAGCGCATTATTAGTCTGTCTATTCTTAGAGACTAAGAGCTTCTAGCTATACAGGATTCTAGTCTCCTTATACTAGGCAGAGATATAGACACGCCCTTTGTAGATAATAAAAGGTAGGGTTGTATACCTAGCAGCGTAGATACTCTAGATAAATAGAACCTACTCCTAATTACCTAGCTAAATAAGGTTTAGCCTTATACGCCTCTCTAAGCCTTTAATAACCTTTATTAAGCTAATTACTCCTATCTAAAAGCTAGTCTTATTAAAGTTATAGATATCCTTATCTAGGACCCTATACTTGTCTTTTATCTCCTATACAAGCTTAAACTACATGCTAATTACCTCTAGATCTTCCTAGAGTATTCTCTAATAGTCCTTTACTTAATTAAAAGCTATCTTAAGCTCCTTTGTACGCAATATAAATTACTTAGCCTAGTTCTTAGTAATAGGTATTCTACTATGTAGAGCTAATAGTTTGTCTATAATATCTGCTACCTTATATAGCTAGGGAGCAAATCTACGTGAATTAAGGTTAAGGATATATTATGTAATTATTTGCTCTTCTATTATAAAGAGCTTCTAGCTATTAGGAATTGCTTCTTATTAAAATGTAATTTTTTTTAGCTAATTAGAGAGCCTCTAGAAAAGTACCTTAAAGGTAGTAGCAGTGCTCTATACGCTCTTAAATTGTCCTAAGATATAGGCCTAAAGCGCAAGAAAAATTCTACCTTCTTACTAAGTTAATATCTACTTATAACTTACCCCACGGGCGAGTCGGACACACGGGCGAGTCAGACACTTTTGCCAAGACCCTACTAAAACACCCTTACTACACCAATGCCTCTCCATGAACGCCAGTTAGACGCGTTAAAAGAAGCTCAGATACAGCTTGCGCTTCAAGCTCTTAAACAAGACGCGACTCTCTCTCTACAGCGCGCTGCAGCTATCTATAGAGCTCCCCTACAGACACTTAGCGACTAACGCGCTGGACAACCTTTACAAGTTAATTCTATGCCCAAATTACAGAGCGTAACTAATACTAAGGAGCAGGTGATTATTAATTATATACTTAAGCTAGACGCGCGAGGATTTTCCCCTTAGCTAGCAGCTGTGGCTAATATGGCTAATTCTTTGCGCGCTGAGCGCAGTCTGGGACATGTTGGCCTAAACTAGCCTAGTACGTTTGTTAAGCGCCAACTAGAGCTTAAAGTGAAGTTTAATTACAAGTATAACTACAAGAGAGCCCTCTGCGAGGATCCTAAGATAATCTAGGGCTACTTTGGCCTAGTAGCTAATATTAAAGCTAAGTATAGCATCCAGGATAACAACACGTACAACTTCAATAAGACAAGCTTTATAATAGGCTAGATATTTAGTAGAGTAATTGTCACAGCTTTAGAGAGACAAGGACAGCTAAATCAGGTGCAGCTAGGCAATTAGGAGTGGATAATAGTTATTGAGGGCATTAATACTAAAGGGTAGGCTATTATACCCTTTGTCTTCTAGGTAGACTGGCGGATGGGTAGGGTAGGGTAGGGTATAGGTATAGTCACGTGACTAGTGGGTAGGAACTAGGTAGGGTATACGAGGTACCCTACCCAAACGGTTTGGGTAGGGTAGCACGTGACTGGGTATAGGTATAGGTAGGGTAGCACGTGACTAGGTATAGGTATAGGTAGGGTAGCTAGGTAGGGTCTAGGAATGGGTAGTCATCAGCTATTTTTAGAAAGTTCTGCCAATAACTTTTATCACAGTGATTCATCACAGTGTGCAAAATTCCAGGTTGGTAATACACTAGTTCTACATTCTCACTATTTGCGGGGTCTACTTAAAGCTCTACTTGCAATGCCTGAATTATT